TCGTGGTTGGAACTGGAAGGCATGTATAAGCAACAGATATGGGTTAATGTCTTCATTGCAATCTGTTGTGAGTCAAATGCACCCTGAAAGTCTCCAGCAAACTGCCTCAAATTGAATCTACAAGTTGACAACTCCATGAAACATGGTCCATATAATTAGAAGCACCCTTGGATAAGATGGGCCACTGAAGCCCCAGTAGAAAAGAAGATGACCTCAGGATGAGGTTGATAGTATTAGTCCTCTTGTGTTAGACCTACCAGTCAAAAACTTTCACCTCCTTGAGACTTTAACCTAAGCGAGGAAAGCAAAGATGGTGCGAAGAGATGAGAAGCGCACAAACGAGAATAAAAGGAAATATAGGAAAACTCCCTTGGAGGATTAGGGGCTGAGAGACTAATATCCTAGCCCGAGGGTGAAAATAGAAGCCAACCAACAGAGAAAGCCAAGAAGAAACATTAAAAGCTTTCCTATTAGACAAAGGATGCTCAAAATTGGACAAAAGAGGACAAAAGCCACAAAGGCATATTTCAATGATGAGAGGTGATAAAACGATGATAAATATGGCAAAGGGGATATCCCCCACCCTCCAATCCTCCCTAACAATGAAGAATCCTTTTTCATTTCCTTTGGTATTCGATTCAATATATTTCATTTACATCTATGAAACAGTCTCATTTCTAATAAAATATATATATATTACGATCTACCACTCATCTTTTGTATATTAATTTTCTAATTATTCTCTAAATTTTTAGGTGTGGATTTCAAGATTAAGCATGTGACAGTTGGGGGCAAAAAGTTGAAACTTGCAATATGGGACACAGGTAAAATCTTGCTGTTGTGTTTCATGTATGTGCAAGTGTATAAACATGAGAGGGGAAAGGTAATGGTGCCATATGATTTGTTTCTGTCCTCTTTTGGATTTTCTCATCGTGTTATTATTCTGTATTTTAAATTTTAAATTTCCATATTCTTAATTTGAATGTTAGATATGCATCTAACATATTTTTTAAGGTTACTAAAGTATGTGTCCGTTATTTATACTATAAAATCTTTATGCTAAATCTTGGGAGTACCCTGGTCCCTGCATGCAAAATTGCACTAATTTCATTGATCATCTTATTACAAAATATTGCCATTGGAACTGTAAGTTCTATGATTTCAGTAGATAAGGGGGTGGATTAACATATACCTACTTATCTTAAGTTCATAACTTTGTATATTTGGCAGTCTCATGCTTTTAAAATTGCACTAGTCATCTTATGATATGATAATATTGTTGGAAATTCTTAGGAACAAATAAAGGATGTCATAGAAAAATCGGTTTTGCAATCAAGGAGAAAAACACCAATGGCACCAAAAACCAGAGGCAGAAAACAAAATCCATGGCATAGTAGGGCTGAATTTCAGTTTCTTCATAATGCTACTTGGGCTTATTGCGATATCTTCTGAAAATAATAATAATAATAATAATAATTTAGGTCTAAGCTAATCAGCTAAGACATCAAGTATGTTGCATTCTATTTATTGTAGTGTAAGTGTGCAACTTGGAAGTGTTATCCTATGATGAAATTGATTATGTAAGCACATCTTCCATACCTTTACTTGAATAGAAGTACAAACCTTCATTGTCTCTACCTTCCTTTATTTAAGTATATTTAAATGTTCTCTACTTGCAGCTGGGCAGGAGAGGTTTCGTACACTAACAGGTTCATATTACAGGGGAGCTCAAGGGATCATTATGGGTATCTTCTATTGATTTCATCACTTTCTATCTACAATTTAAATAATAGCATGTTAACATTGCTACACTCGTGAAATCTTCAATTTCTCATTCAGTTCCCTTTTGATGCTGTTGTTTTTTGTCTTAGAAGAGAGGAAAGTTAAGAACTTCTCAACTCTCAATGCTGTTCTGGTTTTTGAGCCTCTGAAAAGCTTGGAATTTTACAAATTTACTGGAATACAAGCGGACTATTCTTTTCTTTTTCTTCTGACTTGACTATGGGATTATCAAAACTTGTGATTATAATTCTTTTTTTAGGAACATTTCAATTGACTCGGCACTAGTGTCATTCTTTTCTTTGTTGTCATAACGTTTCCAGCTGATCATTGTGTTTTGCGGTTAAAGAACCTGAGCATACAAATTTTGACATCAACTTTGGAACTTAATGCTTTTCCTTTACTTCTTGGGATGAATTGTTTAAAAAAATTGTTATGCTGATTATTTTTCCTTTTATTCATTTAGTTCTCAAGTTAACCAAATATTTGTTGCAACCTAAAACTTGTTTAGTGTATGATGTGACTCGGCGCGAGACATTCACAAATCTGTCTGACATATGGGCCAAAGAAATCGACATGTATTCTACAAATCAGGATTGCATCAAGATGCTTGTTGGAAACAAGGTGGACAAGGTATGCCTTTGACTCTTGAGGAACTTCAGCAGCAATACGCTGCACAATTTAACTATGGATGTAAGCCTGACTTTCTGGCTAATCAGTGCCATGTATAAATATGCTTCATTTATGTTCTATTGAGCTTGGTGTGCCTATGGGCTATTGGCTACTGATTTCATGATATTTCTCTTTACTAAACCAAATTATCCTTATTCTTTATGTTAGTTATCTAAATTCAAGTGATCTAATCTTTCAGGAAAGTGAAAGGGTAGTGAGTAAGAAAGAGGGAATTGACTTTGCTCGAGAATATGGATGCCTGTTTCTTGAATGCAGTGCAAAAACTCGAGTTAATGTGGAGCAGTGCTTTGACGAGCTTGTGTTGAAGGTGCGTGTAAACTTGAAACCCTCTTCTGCTTCCCAAATGACCTTACGATCAATACAAATTGTCCTTGTGCAACTACTTTATTGGGCGTGAACCCTGTATTGAGGCGCTGTTGCTCTCAAAGTTGTATTCCAAGGGTGCAATTTTTATTTTTAAGTGGTTACTAGTTTTCTATTCGATAACGAGCTTCATCATAAAGGCTTAGAATCTATGAAATACAATTTGACCCTTAAGTTTCAAAAAGTAATAATTTGATCCCCGACATTTGTAAGATGGTTCTAAAAGATCTCTGGAGTCAAACTTCCATTAGTGACACCACGGAATGCTGATGTGACGAGTCGAATTTTTATTAATTTTATATTACTTTTAAATTAAGTGGCATTCTTTCCCACTTCCTTCCATCTATTTCTCTCTAGTCTCTCCCCTCTTCTTTCCCTCTCTTCCCTCCCCCTTCTCCAGTAGCATTTTCGCTCCCTGCCTCCATCTTAGTGGTACGTAGTTTTTAGAAGAAAACTCAAAAGCAAGGGGAAATTATCAGAAGAAAATTTTCCAAAGGACTTGCCATTATATCATCCTCAACAAGTCGGAGGGGCCACATTTTCGTCATTTCCCCTCTCTCTTCTCCTCTGTGAAAATATGGAAGTTGCAGCCACTACTTCTTTCCCTCTCTCCAAGCTTCAGCAGGTACTCCTCCGGCAGGTTTGCTGAAATTGCTGCTCGTGTCATTGAGGAACTTCGGAAAGAGAACGCAACTACTTCTTTCTCTTCCTTCAGTGCAGCGCGAGGCGAATTCTTGCTCGTCGTCTGAGGCCGATGAGCTTGGCAAAGTTCTTGTTGGAGAGAGGGAGAGATGGATGTGGGAGAGAAAACATAGACTGGAGAAGGAAAAGGAGGGAAGAGAGAAAGAGAAGGGAAGTCAGAAGTGGGAAAAAAATGTCACCTAATTTCAAATTAATATAAATCAAATTCACAAATGCAACATAAGCATTCCGTTAGTGTCATTCATGAAAATTTGACTTTAGGGAAACTGTTTTCCACAAGTTGGGAAATTGTCGCTTTTTAAAACTTGGGGATCAAATAGAAACTTATCTTATTCACGACCAAAATTGTATTTTACCCAAAGGAAATAAAAAGGAGAAAATCTTAGAATCAAACCTATAACCTATTCTTCAATAATGAGATTCTTTTATTGACATGAACTCAAGCAGTATTGTGGCATGTGATTCTTGCTAGCATGATTTATAGAGATGTCTATTTGAGACTTCAAATTGTTGGTAGTATGATAGTTTTTCATATTTGTATCATCTTAAGTATACTGCCAAGTGTATGTTTAAGACACAAATGGCATTAGTATGATATGTAATTCCTTTTACTTATGGTATGCCATATTCTACCCCTTCTCTTCTTTCCATCGTTTCATTGTCACCATTGAAACAAATAATGAGTCATATGAGAACGTCTCAAGAGCTCTTCTCCAGTGGTCCTCCATAAGCTGTAATAACTACTTGTGATGTTCGACAATGTGTTTGCAGATTTTGGACACTCCCAGTCTTTTGGCTGACGGCTCAACAGGTCTGAAAAAGAACATCTTCAAAGAGAAACCTCCTCAAGCGAATGCATCACCTGGTGGCTGCTGCTCATATTGATTTTATTCTAAGAATTTCAGAAGCATCTTCATTTTGTTTTAGTTTCAACACCCCCTGAAGTCAAAAGGTTCATGCTCTTCATCTTCCCTTTTATGGATTATGACTTTTAAAGTTCGTTCAACTAGAACATCTGGCCGAGCGATTTCCTTGTACTCTTTTAGTCTTTGTTACCAGGCCGACGATTAATTGATTTATTTTGGTGTGAGTTTGATTTAACATGAACTGGAGGGGATCGTATCAATACTTCAAGTTTCAAGACCGACTTCTTTCAACTGCTCAATCTATGCACTAGCAGGTAGTAGAGCGTGTCTCGTAACTTTTTCGGCGGGACGAATTGTGTTATGCTTTACTTTTTATTTTGTAAGAAAATATGCATCTTGATTGTTCTCTCCTTACAAGTTATAGAGCAAGAAAGAATGGTGCTCCAAACAAGAAAAGGCAATTGAGTCTTGATTTAACTATTTAAGTTAATGAAAAGCATGGCGAGAAAGCAAATCTGACTCGTAAACGATCAGTTAAGTGACTGCTCAATTTCTCAATTCCTTCAATTTATCGATATAGAGAATAGTTTCTCAAGCAAGTCGATCGACCTTATAATCTTGCACCCAACACAATTTTTCTAAACTCGTGCTTCTTAGATGTCAAACCCACATCGACAAGGTGGATGTCCGAATTTGTGCTTAGACTTGGAGATTTTATTCACCGCACAAGAGAAATAGAATTAAGTTCCGAATTAATTTACATAACAACATTTGCATGATCTTAACCAATATGAGCTTTAACTCTTTTTTGGGTCAAGCTTGCATTTTCCATCAAATTTAGGCACCAAATGAACTTTGTTACAATCTAAAGAGGAACATCAGAAGGATAATCTTGAGGGTACCTCTTCATAGTTTGCCTTAGTACTTGCTCTTGTTCATGGAGGTTTGAGGGAACATTATCATACACATCACTGAACAGCTCTGAAACTGGAGGTTTCTCTCTCCTCTCTGCATTCTGAATTGCTTGCAACAACTGATCAACCAATGAAATGGCAACTCTTAACAAATCGATACAACCAAATTGGAAATGTAAGATGATTGTAAAAGACTTCCTCTTGAAGATTCAGAAGGAAGCTCCTTCTGAATTCATGCGTGGTCTAATAGAATATAAACAAGTGGATTTTTTAATTTTGTGATGCACTTATCCGTATGCTATTGGATCACGAAGTAATTCAGGAGGAGCTTTCTCTTCGATCTTGGAGTGGAGTCTTTTTTCAAGATGATTGGATTTGGACCTGCTGTTTAACTGTGGTTCTATGGTTGGATTCATCTTCCTGAGTGAGCCATCGATTGGTCGTGAGCCAGTTGGAGAAGCGATTCACAGGGTTGCGCTCCATCTTCCAGTACTGAATCTCGTCCATGGCTCGATACTTGCTGGAATCGTCGGAGGTGGAGTGGTGGCCCACTCTGTAAGTCAATGCCTCGACGAGAACCGGCGCCTGCTCCGCCACGGCCATGGCTCGAGCTCTGCGAATGGCGGTGTAGACGGCTAGGGCATCGTTTCCGTCGATTCGGATGCTGCGGATTCCGTACGCTTGTCCTTTCACCACTACGCCGTCACCTGAGAAATCAAATCGGAAATCCGAAATCGGAAATTGGAATTTTGGAATTGGAAACTAGCGAATTTGGGAATGGTACTGCGGAATTGTTCTTCGACGGAGGTGCTGATGGCCCAGCCGTTGTTGCGGCAGATGAAAATCACTGGTGCTCTCAGTACTGCTGCGAAATTTAACGCTGCGTGGAAATCACCCTGAAAATTGTAAATGTAATTAACTCTATATGTTGTTTCATTTTCTCCTCCTAAATTTTATCAATTTTCACTCTAAACTTCATAGAAAAATAAAGTTTGACTAATGCTCAAAATTTATCATTAAATAACTTATAAATTTTGACAACGAAAAAAACTGACTTTGATGTTATTTTTGTCTAAATTCTATCCATTTCTTCCTACCAAATATTTGTTATTTTTTGTCTAAAAAATCCAACTTTTATCCTAAAACTTGATAGAACGTAACAACGTTTCGTTTAAACGTGTACATTCAATGCATTATGAAATACAGCTTAATATAAAATTGACGAGAATTTGGAGAAAGACAATATTTTAGTTAGATTTTTGTTAGATTAATAAACTACTATTCAACCCAAAAGTGTTGGGTAAATTTAATTCATATGTTGGATATCTAATATTTATTGAAATTTGTAAGATTTTGGAGATTAATTCAATGGTCCATCTTGTACCTTGACAAGACTTAATTGTGCACACAACTTGAATCTCGTTGAAATTAATGAGTTTTTTTGGATCTTTGATGTTGGTTTTAGTTAAAATTAGTGACTAAATGTGGGAAAAGTTCCACACAAGGTAAAAATCGCAATACTTATGAATTTAATGAAATTGAATCTAGCAAGCTCGGGTAAAGCTCAATTTTTTTTTTAATTTTATAATAATATTTAATGTTAATTTGAAGTTTTTTTACTAAAAAAATAAAAATAAAAAACTTGATTTTAAAAATAAAATGATTATAAATTGGACGGTAATTAATTTAATTTACCTCGCTGGTGGTGCCATCTCCAAAATAAGTGACTGCGCACGCATCTTTTTTATCCATTTTAAGAGAATAACCCACTCCTACAGCTTGAGGGAGCTGCGTTCTGCACCATGAAACGACGCCGTTTCACTTCATATCATTTTTTAGAGTATAAATTGTGTAAGAGATTGAATTATTCACAATGAAAAAAAAATTACATAAATATAAATTTTTTTAAGCAATGTAATTTCAACTGTATTCCTAAAACTCTCAACTTTAATTCTAATGAATTTATTCAATTAACAACCATGACTTGTGTATGTCAATGTGCCACATTAACTAGATTCTAACCGATAACTATTTCGTTTTTTACTTGTGCATTTTTAAAAAATTAAGCTTAAAAATATTATTTTCATTACCACCTTTGTTGAAAATCAGAAGATAAATTCTGCTAATAATTCAATTGTGTTTTTAAGATGTGTGAAAACATACCAATGAAATTGTGCATAAATAACCATATTATTTAAAACAAAAAATAAAAAAAGATAGATTCTAATTGATAACCATTTTACCTTTAGTTTTTCATTTTTAGAAGTCATGAGGATTTATACTCACAATACTTATATTATGTTACATAAATTCTTAGTCAAATTTCAAAAGTAAAAATAAAGTTTTGAAAACTATTTTTTTTTTTAGTTTTCAAAATTTTTAAAATATTTTAAATAATAATTAGCTATATAAAGAAATACATAATGAAAATAGCGTTTAATTTTTAAAAATAAAAAATAAAAAGATCGAGAGTTAGTCTTACGCAAGGGGCGATGAAATGGTGAAGTAGTTAAGTTTGTTGGAGCCGTAGTGAATGGGCATCTGCCGACCTTTTCCATAATCGGCGATGTTTCCGAACAATTGATCGGCGAACTCTTGCAGCGTAAATCCACGCCACAGTAAAACGCCCGGCTCCCTGTACTGCCAACCCAATAACAATTTAACAACTGTACATTTTTCTGTCTTCCTCCCTAAACTTATCAATTATTCCATTTTGGTCCTCAAATTTTTTAAAACTCTATCTTGTGCCCCATTAACTTTCAAAAAACATTTATTCATTTTAGTTTTGTACTTTCAAACCATCCATTTTTGTCTCGATATTTCTTTAAAAATTTGCTTATTTTAATCTATTCATTTTCATTTTGATGTCATTTTTTATATCACAATTTTCAATTTTAGTATGACATTTCACTTATTATATTTCTTAATTTGTATTAAAGGATTTTCATTGTGTGTAGAATTAATTTTAAAATTTTACAAATAGGGACGGTTAGATATCCAATATATGAATTAAATTTACTCAACCCATCAACTTAAGTTTTTGGGTTGAGTGGTGGTCCTATGTTTAGTTATTTTTTAAAAGTACATGGATAAAAAATGAATAAAAATTGAAATTATTGGAGTCAAAATGGGCGTTTTAAAAGTACACAAACCAAAACATATCAAAATGAAAAGTACCGGAACCAAATAGTATTTAAACTTTTATTTTAATTTAGTTCCTTAACTTTAAATGTCTATTATAATCTCTAAAAAAAAAAAAAACCATTTTAGTTCTCACTCCTGTTATTGAATCAATCAATGATTGATTCACAAATGAATAACACATGTTTAAACATTTATATTAAACAGTTGATGTGGGTATTTATTGAAGCCAGAAGGCCAAATACTGAGTTGGATGATTTTAAGTGATAAAATAATAATAAAGACTAATTAAAAAAAATGGTTTAGAGACTAAAATAGACCTTTTGAAGATTTAAAGAATTAAAATATTCATTTTCAAAAGTTAGAACAAAAATAAAATTTAAACCTAATTTAACTTACCTGAGCTAGGACGACGTCGTCAGATTGAAGTGCAGCTGCTGAAGCAATAGTAATTGCTTCTTCTCCCGACGAAGTTAAGTAAAATGAGATCCTTCCTTGCCTTTGTGCTTCATAGAATATGGTGTCCATTGTTTGGAGCGTTACCATGTCTTTATACATCTTAACCGCCACATCTTTGTTCAACTATTAAATTTGAAAAAATGAGGACCAAAGATGGACAAAGATGTAGCGATTAAGACGTATAAAGACCAAAATATTACAATTACAAAAGTATAAGGGTCATAGGAGAAAAATGTTTCATTTTTTCCTTTTCAATTGTCGCCAAATTAAATGTATAATTTTTGTTTGACATTATTTGTTATTTTTATCATGAATACTTTTTGTTAATGTTAAGTTACAGAAAATATTAAACACAATTAGGAAATTAAAAAAAATATATGTAAAAGGTCAGAGGGAAAAAAATCTGGGTCGTTGATTAAATTAGAGAATTCTCATCCCTTTTAAAAGACTTCATATCCGCGAGGGAAATTTTCTTAATAAAAGGAAATTGTTTTGTTTTCTTTCAAAGAAAAAGCAAATAATAATGTTGGAAACAGCTCATTTTTAAATTTATAAAAATCAGGCTATACATTATCCTACCTTCCATATTCTTTATAAAAAAAATTATTAATAAGATAATATATTTTATATTGTGGGGTATTATCTTTCAATCAAATTTTAAATTTCCCATCATTATAGCTCTAATATATATCTCTTTCATTAAGGTTAAATTACCAAGAAAAAAAATAA